CTGACACACCAGGGTGGCCTTCAAGGCCACCCTGTGCACAGTTGAATGTGAACTTTGTCTTGTGTGGCCTCGGCTCCAGTTTTGAATGCATGACAATTGACACAGTTTTTCAAGAACACTCATGAGAAGCCTACCTTGTATAACTGCCTCTGGGGACCATTCCTGTGGGACACTAACCATGTCTGGCCCCTTGTGATCCTGAACACTCAGGGCTGTGTGCGTACAGCTCAATGACCAGTATGAAAACCTTTCAGTGGGAACCTCCGTGTGTGTGTGTGTGGTGTGTGCATGTTTTAAGTTTATGTAGTGTATGTGTGTCGGTGCTGCATGTCATGGTGCATGCTGTGGTCTGAGGATGACTTGCAGAACTCAGTGCCCTTCTTCCACTACCTGTGTAGGACCCAGGGGTCACTCTGCTTGTCAGGCTGCTGACCATCTTGCCAGATCCCATCTTTTTTCTTTTTTCTTTTTTTTCCGGACAGAGTTTCTCTTTAGCTTTGGAGCCTGTCCTGGAACTTACTCTGTAGACCAGGCTGGCCTCAAACTCACTGAGATCTGCTTGCCTCTGCCTCTGCCTCCCAAGTGCTGGGATGAAAGGCGTGGTTCACCACCACCTGGCATTCAGCTGTTTTGTTTGGGTTCTGGGACTAAATTCATGCCCTCATGCTTGGAAGGCAAATACGTTATGAATGAGTCATCTCCCCAATCCTGACCTTGTGTGTGTGTGTTGTATTATTGTTTTGTTTTTTAGCAGTATTGCCTCACTCTGTTGCCCAGGCTAGCTCTGAATTCCTAGGCTCAAGTGATCCTCCTGCCTCAGTTTTTCCATTAGCTGGGATCACAGGCATGCATCTCTATGTCCAGTCATAACTATCCATAATTATTATTTTTTTGAGACAGGGTTTCTTTATATAGCTCTGGCTATCCTTGGACACCCTCTGTAGATCAGGCTGGCCTTGAACTCAGAGATCTGCCAGTCTCTGCCTCCCCAAGTGCTGGGATTAAACATGTGCACCACTACCACTGACTCATAATTATTCTTTTTTTTTAAATATTTATGTATTTATTATGTATACAATATTCTGTCTGTATGCCTGCAGGCTAGAAGAGGGCACCAGACCCCATTACAGATGGTTGTGAGCCACCATATGGTTGCTGGGAATTGAACTCAGGACCTTTGGAAGAGCAGGCAATGCCTTAACCTCTGAGCCATCTCTCCAGCCCAATTATTCTTTTTTTAAATATATTTATTTATTTATTATGTATACAATATTTTGTCTGTGTGTATGTCTGCAGGCCAGAAGAGGGCACCAGACCTCATTACAGATGGTTGTGAGCTACCATGTGGTTGCTGGGAATTGAACTCAGGACCTTTGGAAGAGCAGGCAATGCTCTTAACCACTGAGCCATCTCTCCAGCCCCCATAATTATTCTTTTAAAGTCAGGTTCTCTGTGTATAGCTGTGGCCAGACTGGAACTCACTATATAGACCAGACTGGCCTTGAACCTACAGGCTTTCACTACCCGTCTAGTGCTGGAATTAAAGGGATACATTAGCATACCCTGACAGCCATAAAATCGTCATTTTTATCTTGTACCTTCCTAATAGTGTCCCCACCTTAAGACCCTAAATACAGATTGTCCTGGGAATTATGCGACGCACTGGCTCGAAAATCTGCCTCTGTATCCCCATACCTTCTTCAGCTCACCCCATCTGCCCCACTGGGGCCATCTGTCTGGAACTAGACACAGACTCCTTGGAGGTGGTCAGTGTGGCCAGGCCAGGCTAGCCTGGGTGGACCCTGTGGTAGCACAGCCCTTGAACCCCTGTCTGAGTTAGGAGGGCAGTGATGGTGACTCCAGAGCAAACATGTGGACTACCTGAGGGTGATGGGTTCCTGATGGGCGTGGTGGCTGTCGGCTGAGAGGTTCCTCCTGGCTTGGGGGTGTGCGTTGGGTCCCCTCTGGATGTGCTTGGAATGACGGAGGTACTTGTTCTTGAAGTAGGGGCTGTTGGCTGAGAAGTTCCTGGCTTGGGGGTCTGTGTGGAGCCCCCACTGGGTGTGACTGGCTTTGAAGTGGTGCTTGTACCTGTAATGGGGATCTCTGGTTGAGGGGTTCCTGGCTTGGGGGTCTGCGTTGAGTCCCCACCAGGAGTGGTTGTCTTGGGGGAGGTGCTAGTTCCAAGAGTAGGGGTCCCCCCAGGTGTGGATGAGGTAGAGCCGGGTGGGCTTAGAGTTGTGCCTGAGGGTGGGAATGGGCCAGCACTTCCCCCAGAGCTGGTTGTGGCAGATCCTTGAGAGGTCCCAGAGGTCGTGGGGGTTTCCAAAGTGGTGTTACTTGAAGACCCAGTTGTTCCTCCAACTTCTGGGGGCTTGGGGGACTCTGGGGGTGGCATGGACAGAACTTGGGTTTGCCTCTGTCCCCAAATACGCCTGTTCTAGAGGAGGAGCCACCTTGCTTGGGGGCCCTCGGGCTCACCTGTGGGGGGGGTCTCCTGCTCTGACACTTGGATCTCAACGACAGTGGTGGCTGTTTCCTCAGTCACAGTACTGTTAGCTTCTACCTGGGGCAGGAAAGGGGCTTGTTCCTCTCGGGTCCCTCTTTACCCTCGGGCCCCTCTTTATCCCTCACCTTTGGTCCCCGTATTCCCCACTCCACCTGTACATAGAAGACTCCTGTTTCTTCCATAGCCACAGTGGTCAGCATGACATCCTCGTTCATTATGAAATCTGAGGAGTTGGTGACTTGATACGTGATGGCCAAGTTCAGGTCCTGGGTGAGACTGCAGTGAGGCCTGGGCCTGGGTGTCCTACTGTCCATCCCAAGCTGCCCACACAGAGAACTTAGAGAGTTCCTAGGTGGTCAGGAAGGGACTGCATACCGGGAAGTCTGTGTACTGAGCCTGGATCCTCAGGGTCTCAGAAGGGGAGGTCCTGTCCTTCACTGTTATGCCAGCCGCAGAACCAAGCACCACTGTACCATGGTACAGGCTCTGAGAGAACTGGAGTGGTTTCTCACGAGCCTCCACAATGGCCTGGGTCACTGAGTAGCGGGCCCTATCATCCTGATCGGCCTGGGGAGTCAGGGGAAACAGGAGTAAGCAATGGGACTTGTTGGAGCTGGGCTGTATGGAGCTGGGGCTCAAGGAAACACGGGAGAGGGATCTGTTGTACTCACTCTGACCACCAGGGTGAAGGTCATGGGGCTGGGGATAATTTTGTTCATCGTGAGGTTGCCAGACTTTTCGTCGATGATAAATGTGCTATCCGTGTTTCCTGGGAGAATTCGGGGTGGGGTTTGGTGTCTGGTCCCTCTGTTGTAGGGCCCAGGTGCTATAGGGCCTCACTAGAACCCTCACTCACCTGCCACAATGCTGTAGATGATGGACTGGTTAATCCCCTGATCTCCGTCCACAGCATAGATTGGACCAGGACTCAAGACGAGAGGGGATGACTGTGGGGACAGGGATAGCCTGAGGCTGGAGGACCCCAGTTCTTACTCTTTTGTGTCCCTCAAGGTCTGGAACATGAACTGGAGCGTGGGGGTAGGGGGCCGTTCCTGCTTGAGACAGAGCTGCAACCACAGCAGAATTCAGGGGCAGCAAGAACTTAAGAAGGAAGACTGGCAGCCTCCATGTGTCCTCTGCACCATGGAGGATACGGTAGCCTTAGCCGGACCCCACCTGCCCAGCTGGCCCTCTGGCCCCAGAGGAGACTCTCTGCTGGGCAAGGACATAGCAATTCTTCTTCAGCGTCAGCCCAGTCCCTGAAGTCCTCACACCCAGCTGACATCACAGGGTCCGCCCTCATCACTGATTTTTGTCTGTATGTCCCCAACCTGAGGCTGGGATAGTTAGTGAATGATTATTCATCCATATTAGTTTCCAAAAGAAAATTATAAAATTGCCTAAACCTCTTGGGGAGCACAGCACCACCCTACCCTGACTTGGTTCTGGGTTCAAGTCAGACCCTGGGCTTTCTTACTCCCTATTACCAGTAGATGTCCCGTGGAGACCACTCCATGGTACTGGGCGTTGATGCAGAGGTAGCCATCTGAGAAGGAGCAAGGCAGGAACCAGGGGGTCCGTAGGTCAGCCGGAAGCACGTTTATGATCAGGGTGGCATTGGCCGTGTGGGTGTTCTCTGTGATGTTTTCAGTATCCTGTAGTCACAGCCAGCACTGACAGGTCAGGCCCACAAGGACTTGGACAGGGCCTGGAACATCCAGGACTCAGGTAGCTGTGATCTGTTTACCTGTGCAAGCAGCCTGAAGATCATGTTCTGATTCTTATAGAAATCCAGGGTCCGGCTCAGTATCAGAGCAGGGTTGGTTAACCCCGCCAGGGAGAAGAAGCTGCTGGCATTCTGAGAAGGCAGAAGAGGTCACAACATGAGCCTCTGAGGCCTGGAGGCATCAGAAGGAAAGGGTCAGTAAAGCGTGGGGACAGGGGAAGCACTGACAGGGGTCACTTCCTGCAGAGTGTAATATAGTGTGTCATCTACGTCAGCATCTTTGGCCGCCAGTTCTGTCCCAGGGATGACAGTTGTACCCACTCTGGTGTCCTGGGGATAGAGAAGAAGTTGATCCAGCCATGCTGTGGTTTCTGTATATATCTATCTCCCTGATGGGGTCCCCCAGATACCCCTCTGTCTCCCTTCCTTCTCCACACTCAGAAGGCACCTGCTGTGACTCCACTGGACTCACCTCTGCTACATTGTATTCCTTGCTTGTATAGGGAAACTCTGGGGGATTGTCATTGACATCCAGGATAATCACGTACACAGGCAAGTATGTCAGCTGCAAGAAAGTCACTAAAGTCAACCCCTGCCTGAGTAGCGATGTTCTGATGCCCGCATCATTCCTTCCTTCTTCATCAGTTCATTCATTTAGTCCTTCGCTCTTTCACTCAGCAGACATTGGTGGCATCGACAATGTGGTGGCCTATGGGCTCCTGTTCTAGGAGGAACTCAGACTAGAAAACCAAAACTAAACAACATCTCAGAGCGTGGCAGCCAGCGTGCGGGGAATGTGCTGAAGAGACATTAGGGCAGTCCTGGGGACACAACCGGCAAAATGTCAAAGGAAGAAAAAGGAGCAGTCTCGTCGCCCAAAAACAGGTCTTCAAAAGAACGGCAGAGAAAGAAGCCTTCAGGTTAAACTCACTGGCTGTGTCCCGGGAGAGAGACCTTCCTGAGACCCAGGAGGAGAGAGAGGTTGAGGACAGAGAGGAGAAAAAGGTGTTCTTCTCCAGTGACAGATGTCAGGGCCATGGTCATATGGTCATTGTGTGTGTGTGTGTGTGTGTGTGTGTGTGAAGTGTATTTGTATGTTGAGAGTGGAGCCCAGGATCTTAACCACATAGTAGGCAGGTGCTTTACCACTAAACTATACTTAAAAATGAATTTTTAAAAAAATTATTATCTATTAGAGACATGGGCTGAGATATGTGTGGGTAACATGCCACGGCACAGGGTAGGAGTGCAGGGTGTGCTAGCTAGTTGTTCTTGGCGGGGCAGAAAGTGTGTGGGGCCTGTCCTATCTGTAAGCATCTTTTAGCAAAAGGCTGAAAATGTGGTGTAGGCTGAGGGCTGAGGGTGAAGATGCCTGGGGTGGGGCAGGTGGACAGTGTGGACTCGAAGGGCGAGGTGTCCCCTGGGATGATGTGTCCATGCTGGTGGGAGCAGGCTCAGGGAGTGTCTACACTGGGCCAGTGTCTGCACAGCCTAGCCTTGCCCGCCCGGCTGGGAAATTAGCTTTGAGTCCCAGTAGGAAAATGTGGAAGTTTCTGTGTGAAGCTGGGCAGGGTCTGGTTATGACTCTCTGGGAACTCGCTGCACAGAGAAGGGGTGAAGGGGACCAGGAACAAGAAAGCAGCAAGTGGATTCACTAGAAGGGTCAGAGAGGAGCTCTATCGACCAAAGCCCCCGTGGAACTCACGTAGGAAGAGCAGGGCTGACTGTAAAGGAGGCCCAGCCAACAGAGTCCCGGGGTGTGTGTGTGTGGTGGGGGAGGGGTGACAAGAAAAGTGGGGTAAGGGGCTGGCCGGTGAAGGTGTCTCCCAGGTGAGGGGTGAGCGGCAGACTTGGGGTCTCAGGGTGCTGACTCATACGTGGCCCTAAATTAGCAGAGTTTGAGTCTAGAACTCAGGGCAGAGTCTGGGCTAAACGAAGTGTGGGAGTGGCCAATAGAGGGCTAATGCTCAGACTCCCTGGGATGAGGTCATGGAGGAGTAGTCGTGGGGTATTCTGGCAGGTCAGGGGTGGTCAGATAATGGGGCTGCCTTACCACTTCATCTCCTCTCTTGCACTCCAGGATTGCCTCCAGTACAGAGTTTTTCTGAGGATAATGAAACCAGTACCCTATGAGTCACCAGCCCTATAGGAAGTACAGTGCCCTAGGCTAGGGAAGCGGGGCTAGGAAGGCCTGTACTTCTTCAGGGCCCCTGTCATCGGTGGCAAATCCTGCGTGTTAGGGGGCTTCTGGCAACTGTGTCTCCCAAGGGTCCTACCCCCCAGTACCAACCAGCCTCACTACCTGGGGGACATAGAGCCCACCATTAACCCCTCCTCCTAGGGTGTCTTTTCCAGGCTAGGGGAATGGATGTTCATGTAGATCCCCATGGGGACACATTCCACCCTACAGACTGTACCTCATAATCAGGAGGCACGCTGAGAAACAGCTTATCGTCTTCAATTTTAAGTCCTGGAGAGGATGTGGACCCCAGGGTCACCTGCAGGCCATCTGGGACCGAAATGTTCAACAGTGGCTCGGAAATATCACTGTTCTCCTTAATTTTAACAAACGAGTTGTTCACAGAGCAGACTGGAAAGTTGCAAAGGAGAAGTTGGTACAATCCACCCACTCCGCTAACTACCCACCCTGCCCTTGTCCAGCACATACCTTGGGTCTGGGCCGAGGTCTCTGGAGGTTGGCCAAACAGCACTATGAGCAGTGGCAGCAGCAGCGGAGGCCACAGGAGGGCCGGAGCCCCCATGGTGGCAGCTGTCAGCTGGAAGAAGGGTCCAGCTGCCTTCTTGTTCCAGGGCTGGTACAGTTCCTGCCTGGGCGACCTTCGCCCCTGCCAGGCACCGCCTCATTTTATGACCCTTTACTCATGGCCTCTACCAAGGGGGCTCCCGCTGGCCGGCACTTAGAGGGGACATGAGGTCATGTTTCAGCCTGGACTTCTAGGAAATTAAGCAGGGACTCAACCCACAGACATTACACGAGGTTTAAAAAGCATGAGAACCACTGGGAGTGGGGAATAGGCCTAGTAAAGCTAGGACAAGGCTGGGGCCATCGGTCTAAGGAGACTGAGTCAGGGCTGAGGAGCTGAAGCAGGCCTGGGAGCTGAAATCATTCATAGATCTGGGGAGCTGAGGCAGGACTGGGGGCTGAAGCAGCCCTATGGGGGTGTAACTATAGGTCTGGGGAGCTGGGACAAGGCTGGGGGGAGCTGGGGCAGGACTGGGGGAGGCAGAAAAGATTAAGGTAGGACTGGGGAGCGGGGCAGGGGGAGCTGGTATAGGGCTGGGGAAACTGGAAGAGAAATAGAAGGAGCTAGAACAGGGCTGGGGAGCAGGGTACAAGGACAGGGACATGGGCTGAGCCATTGGCCTTGGGTCTACTGTAACCCCAGCAGGATAACCCTCTTCTTGTCTCTCTCTCTCTCTCTTCAATGACCTTAGCAAAATTCCTGAAGCCACATTTGTTACCTCCCTTCCCTGTTCTACTCACAAAGCAAAAGTGTCCCAGCATGCTCCTGCTTGTGTGGGAAACACAGCAGGTCCCCCAGGGCTGGGCCTGGCAGGGCTTGGCAGGGCCTTGGTAATAGGATGCAAATGAAACCTTCCAGCCACAGCTGGGAGTGGGACTAGGGGGAGCCAGTATCTGTGGAAGACAGAAATCCTGGCCTCCATTAGACTTGCTTCAGCCTTTCTTGCTTTCTCCTATCTCCCCTACAAGCCCTCAGAAGTGGGGAGAGGCCTCTAGGTGGAGCCAGGAGGATGGTAGGGAGTGCTGAGTTGAAAGGGCCCCCAGAGCCCTCACCATCTGGGCCTTTGTTGGGCGGCTCTGGATGCATGGAAACCTTCCTGAGGCTCCAGGCCACTGTCAGGACTGAGTGCTTTGTCTCATGATGGGTGATGACATCGCTATCCAGGCTTCAGGCTGTGCCAAGACCACATAGACATGTAGAGCCAGGATGTACACAGGTCCTTTCACTCATGAGGGACCCCTATCTGTCCTGCCTGTGTCTCTTCACCGCTCCATGCACCCTGACCACAGGGCTGGACCAGGGTTGGGATCTCTGATCCCTGGAAATTTTCCTAAATGGACCACAGGGCAGGGTGGAACACTGGGGAGTTCAAATGGGAAAAGAGGAATCCAGCCGATGCCAGAGATAAGGAAGAAATGTCCGAGCTGACCTCCCAGGTTCAAAGGGCAACTGGGTGTGGTCCTAGTCATTGAATGAGGTGGCTGGAACTGTCCACACTCAGTCTTACTGAGCAGGGACTGCCTTGATTTTATCAGACATCACACACTGTGAGCTAAAGACCAGGGTCTAAACTCCTTCTTTATTGATACCAGTGACAACCAAACCCTAGCTCCAGGCAGGCTCCTGGAGACTCCCCTTCCTCCCTCATCGGGGCTGCCTGGTTGCTTCAGTCCACTCTGAAACTTCGACAGCGGGCTTTGGTCCAGGAGGCAGCCACGGAGACCGGGACCCATCCAGGGAAAGCCTAGGGAGAAGCCTGTGGAGGGAGATAGGTGGTTAGGGTACTGGGACTGACCATTAGAGCGCTCACACCCACATGGCTAGGGAACAGGAAGGATGCTTTAGGAGTTCAGCTGAGGGTGGACTGCTCACCAGTCCTGTAGGGCCTGAGTGTTCGACCACAGCAAGCAGAGCTGGTCCTCTGAGGGCTTGGACCGGGTCAGGCTGTTCTCTGGGATATTTTCTGTGTCCTGCTCACTGCCCCCCACCCCAAATTAGAATTAGTGGTAGTACTGGAATGAGGCAGGTTGCTGATAGGGGACTATGGCAGGCCTGCCCCATACCAGGAAAAGTCTAAACTACGCCTGCTCACCTGCGCTTCCCCACCAGACCCTGCAGCAGGCGCTGCAGCCTGGCGCTGTCCTGCAGGCGACTGAGCTCACTAGTGAACATCCCGTCTGAATGTCTTGAGATCCTGGGGAGGGGAGGGACGAGAGGAGGGTCAAAGTTCGCCCGTGCGGGCATGTGGGCGTGACCGTGGTTAGGTGACCCCCCCAACACACACACACACACACACACACACACACACACACACACACACACACACACACACACACACAC